ATATTTTAATTTTTATACTCGGGTCGAATACGAATATGTCCAAAACCCGACCCAATTCGACCCCTTCGGAGCACTAAGTGTGACTATGCGCGCATTTGCCCATCTCTAATCATGTCCAATTTTGGACTGCGAAAATTTATTTAAAGATCTATCGTACTTCGCTTTCATGCTCTCCTCCCCAAGCTCTATTTTATATTCTTTGGGCGCTCTATCGAAAAAAACTATTTTTCTTTATTAATAGTTTTAATCTTTATTATTATCTCTTAAATTAAATTGTATCCTGAACAATGAAACGCATGTTAAACGTTAATAGTTATAAAAAAATGTATAAATCTGAGACCTTAAAAATTCAAATAAACAGGATAATAAACTTTTAACAACCGATAATTAATCAATTAATAAATTGCTTTTTGGCCCATTAAAAAATGCTTACCATCGTGTACGATTCTTCCTTTTCTGCTTGTAATCGTTATTCCGTTTTTGGGTAGTCATTTAAACCAGAAAAGGCACTGTAATTGAATATTATTATTGTTGGTTAGGTCCTTTAATCCAGAAAAGCATCGCAATTGTTGAATTGGAAAGTTTAAGGCTTTTATCTAGAAAAAGCATCTGTTAGCATTATAGTCAACCGCAGAAGTATTGACCAAATTACTTGCTTCCTTGTTCTCCGCACTCACTTTACCTAACGATATCCATAGATATCGGCACATTTAACTACTTGCATAATAAACACTTTCCTAACCCCTACAAAACAAAGATCCGCAATTCATACGTTAACACTACAAATAGAGTAAATCGATATGAATTATTAATGCTAGTTTTCGAAAGCTGAGAATTAGTATGTGAACCTGAATTTGAGGCACAAAGGCAGATAGTGCTAGCACACTGATGAGATTAAACAGATAATTTTTTTGAAGTAAGAAGGGAGTCACTCATTTGAGTCAATTTGGCTCGGACAATTTCGAGTCGAGTTTAGACTCGAAGGGACTAATCCCAAAAATCACATGATGAAGATCAAGTGCTATTATTTCGTAGCGTAATTATTTTCTTGAGAAACAAAGGATTATTTAAAACTCTGAACAAAAGGATTTTTAAGAATGTAATTTGTCTCAAAATAAAGTCAATTATAAATTGGGATTCTTACTTATTTAACAATGTTAAAGGGTGTTCTTTATTTAATTACAAAAAACGCCGATTTTATTTATTATAGATTAAGATACAAGAATTCTTACGTTCCGACTGTTGTTTCTATGACAACAGATCACCATGCACTGCAAGTTACGAGTGTTCCATACGAGCGTGCCTTAGTATATGTTTGTGCATATCAAAACTCGACTTTTAGAGTCGACCGGACTTTTAACCCCTCTTCCTAATATAGCTTAATTAAAAAACACGTTTTTGTTCATCGATTGTCCCAACAATATACATGTACTGTACATATACATGTAAATCACTTTAATATGGATCTACGTAATGTTCATGCGATGATCGACGTAATTAAGGGGGGTAATTTCAAACGACTATTGTACAACAAGGAAAGGTTCAATTACGACGTACAATAGTGCTAAAATCTCAAGCTTTCAAACAAAATAAAAAAAATCAATGTCAAACCCAACCAATACTCGTAAAAATTGCGAACTTACAGATTTTGAGCGTGGTGAGATTATCGGCGCTTGGAAGTGTAGTTTATCCGAAAAACAAATTGGAGATACTATGGGACAACCCAAATCTACTGTTCATAATGTTATTAATAAATACAAAGACTTTGTCCACATTACAATTGCTCCCCGAAGCGGTAGACCACCAAAATTAGATGATAGAGCCACTCGAAGATTAATCAATATTGTTAAAGAAGATCGACAACAAGCAGTTGCTGAAATTACCAAAAAATTCAATACTGCTGTTAGTGAAAGAATTATACGACGTGCTCTTCATGAATCTGGGTTTTTTGTTTGGGCTGGGATGAGAAAACCTCATATATCTGAGGAAAACGATTAAAATGGTGTTTAGAAAGAAAAGATTGGATTAATTAGTAGTTTGGAGTGACGAATCAAAGATACTTAATATTCCGATATGATTCCCGGCAATGGGTTTGCGCCAATCACATGAAAAATACAATGTTTGAATGTCTTCTTCCTACTATGAAGTCAGGTAATCAGGGAATAATGATATGGGAATGTTTTACTTAAAATACACTTGAACCTTTAATTGAAGTTGAGGGTGGAATTACTGTATAAATTATATAGAAATAATGGAACAGAATCTTCTACTATCTCTAAATGATTTGCCAGGTAGTTGTGTTCATCTTTTTCAAGATGACAATGCTCCAGTTCACAGATTTGATCCAGCTAGTTAATGGAAAGAGGAAAATTTAATCACTTCACTTCAATGACCTGTCAAGGCCCTGATCTAAATTTGGCATTTGTGGGATGTTTTGGAAAGATGAATTCGTGAACATCCAAATCAATCCAAAAATTTATGGATGCACTTGCGAAGGAATGGGAAGCAATTGAACCGGAAATTTTAAGAAAAGAGTGCAGGCTGTAATTGATGCAAATGAGAATCCAACCCGATATTAAATTATATGTATAAAAAGCCTACTTTTACTGATAATATAATATATTTTTTATTGTAATTTATTTAAAAAGAAGTCGAGTAATATACATGCATCGATCTATATTGCTGATCATTTCCCGAAATACCATACTATACTTACGTAGGAGACTATAATTACATGTACAAAAAATTTATGCATGTACATACATGTACGTGTATTTGATATTTGTCTACATTTCTACTTACAACTAAGCCTGTTTATTCCAATCAAAGTGACAACGGCACTGGCAGTAGCACTCCACAAGAATAACAAAATAAAGTCTAAAACAGTTATTCTGGCACTTTGGTACTGTTCGCCGGATTTTTGCGAGTTACGCACGTAAATGGTGTATATCGGAAAGGCGACAAGGTATGACATCTGAAATACAATCTCCCTAAAAGGATGTTACAAAAGTGGGAAGTTTTAGGCAATAATAAATAAGCACTCTCACAAAAATACAATAATACATACGATGATTCGGAATCATTGCCAACTACATTAGATATATTTCCAATGAGATGAGCCAAAGCGGCAAAGGTCAAGAAATATAGATCCTTTAGCTTCTTTAGGTTCCGGATAGGCACCAAAAGCGGTTGGCGCTCTTCTGACTGTTCATGTGACACAATGAAGAAGAGGACCGGTAGAAGAAAATCTATGGTCAAACCTGTTACAAGGATAATAATAATAATAATAATAATTCAGTGTCTCTGATTGTTAGCGATGCGGGCGGCTGAAAGGTATAACAAAAAAGAACTTGCCTTGAAACTTGAAGAACATCTCATCCCAATACCAGGGCAACTGACTAACGATCCCCGTGACAACAACCGAATATACCACTGTGGTCAAGATGCCGTTAACATAATTGGCTGTTGACCTATGACATAATGCGGCCAGGATGAAAACTTCCATAATATTATGGAATATTCCCACGATTGCCCACTGTCTTCCCACGCCAAGGATTATTCCTGCAACCAGGGCTAGAAATGTGGCGGTGATGTAAGCGGTAATGATGCTGTTGAAAAGAATTTCCGTCCATTGGATACTGCTAGCTTCGCGTGCGCCGGTGCCGGTGCCGGTGATGAACTCGGCGTCGATGGATTTGCTGGTACCGGCGAAGGTGGAAAAGACGGGGTTGATGGTTTCGTTGGGAATGGCGGAGTTGACGGTTTCGTCGGAGGTGACGGTCTCGTTGGGAATGGCGGATCGTTGTCGTTTAAAATTACCTTTCGTTTTAATATAGATACAATATAAACTTGTTATACCAGTGACAAAAGCTGAAACATATTTCGAAACAGTCTCTTTGCTTGCAGATAACGCGTGAGGACAGGGGGCAATACGCCATACTGGTAAGCCGGTAAAATTTGACTTTTCTTGTTCGCGCTCCGGAAGTGGAGATTTATTTATAGTGATAGCCAAGTAAACTATCACTACTAATTGCAAGGTAACAAGGATTATTCCAACGACCCTGGCGACTTGACCAAAAAAAGTTGCCATAGTGAATTAATCGATTTTTCGATGGACTTTGGCAGAAAGAAAATTTTATAGAATTTTCAGAGAGTAACTTTGAAAGAAACTATCGTAAGTTATTTAACAGGCAACCCCAAGGGTTATATAAGTGCGAATGAAACTTGTAAAGGAGAAACCTTGATATTTGCCACTTCGCAGCCAAAAAATGGTGTTGTGTAAAGCGGAGACGTCCCCAAAAGGCAAAATATATTTTGTGTTTGGAACCTATTACCGAACAGACCCGCACAGTATACTTGTACATTTTTTTCTTAAAGAACTTTCCAAATTGCAGGATCTGCCGCCGCTTATAACATGTACATGTATAGTGAATAGAAATATAAAAAATGAATTTGTAAAACTTGGAGTTTTTAATCTAAAATTAAAATAATGAATAAATTTGTTGTGCATGCATAATTCTTTAATTTTATTTTATTTTCGATTTTGAATTTCAAAAGAATTATGTTTGTGAGAGATGCATGTACATGTACAAACAAATAATCGTTTGTATCACTAAAAATCGCCTTTTTGACTTTTGAGGCCATTACCTGTTCTATGAATTCAAAAGAACAACATTTAACAATATTGCTACCATTAGATTAGTCCTATTGTTGTATCTTTCAATCTTATTCAATGAATTTATTTAGTCAATTGTTGAAAATGTCGTGTAAAATTTAATTCTTATCGCTATCAATACACGTACAAGTAAACTTGATAAGCCAAAATTCAAGTTATTCTTCATGTCAAATATACGGAAGGAAGTTATTTAATCAAAATATTTAATATAATCTGTAAAAGGTTTATTAATGTGTGTTGCTTAGCCAATATAAAAATTTTTTGTTAAGATTAGGCTTACTATGTGCTGTTAATAGTATTAACGATATCATTATACAGATAATGACTATTAATCATTAATACATGTACAGTACAGAAATAATTGTATCTCCAAAACTCGTATTAAAGTAAATTTGTATTGCATTGTCTCTTAAATACAATTTGAGTTCCAGTTGTCTCATAAAATAGCAAAGACACTCGCCTGGATTATGTATTGAAAATAAATACATGTACCATGAAATAATTTTCGGAAATTTACAGTTTTGTTTATATTAATTTACAAATCTTGTATAATTTTGGTCGTAATAATATTTTTTTATTTTTTTATTAATAAATTGAACTGCAAAATTCCCGTTCTTGATTCACCGGGACTCCCGCTCTTGATTTATACGTTAATAAATTTAATACATGTAAAGATGAGCAAAAATTGTCGAGCACACAATGCACAAACTTTTTATTCAGCCAGTAAAATAAAATCCGACACAAGAAACAAAGCGAATATCTTGAGGAAACCAGTATCTGGAAGACAATTTTACATATAATTTTTGTCCTCTAGGTCTAACCCTGATCCTGCTCTTAATATTTTCTTATCAACGCAACGCATGCACAGTATTTCAAGTTTTAAATTATGTGATACAATTGAAGTTTTGCTCTAACTACACATGTAATAAGAAAAAATTAATGATCAATATCTAATTTGGGGCATGTTAGTTTCACATTCAGTTTCTAATCACATGGCGCGAATTTTTATTTGATCATTCAAGAAAAAAACCACAGATAATAGATTACAATAATTAGAAAAGCAATCATGAAAGTAAATACTGCAAACTAATAATAATAACAAAAAAGTAATGTAATAATAATAATAATGAAAGTAAATAATATATTATTATAATGATAGATTATAGAAAACTTCATAATCTTTCAAATAGCAAAGTGTAATATTGATTTAATAAAATAAAATCTATAAATAAAACTAATAATAAATTTAAATATGCAATAAATATTTTGATTGCTTTTGAATCATTATTCTTAACCAGTCAATATCTATTCTGTATTATTTTCATTGTAATCTTCATGATTATGTCTCTCTCTTTACTAAATCTGAACAGATTTCAATATTTGATCTTTTTTATAATTCTTTATATATTTCCAAATCGATCTTTACAAATATTCCTTTCAAATAATAGCTATTTATCAAAATCAAAGAGATATTAATATAGAATATATTAGTAAAAAAAGTATATAATAATAAAAATAAAATTATAATATTCTGATGATATTAAGTTTAATAGTAATTCTTTTGTGCAATTCTTAAATTCATAATCATAGTTCTATTTATAAATATCTTTTGAATAGAATATGAAAATTGATAAACTTTTTCAAGAATTTTATTATTAAGATTAGCTATAAAAATTTATTTCTAATGAAAGTTAAAGATTACTTTTTTAAATTGAGTTATTATTTATTATCAAGCTGTATAATTATAAAATACTTCTAAAAAATAGATTTAATAAGATTTAATTAAATTAAAATTAAAGTTTTGATTATATTTTACATTAATAAAAATTTATTATAAAAATTATTACAAAAAAAATATTATATTTATAAAATCATATTTTTTATATATTATACATTAAGTTTACTATAATATAATTCTAATAGATTAATTAAAATAATCTTTAATAAAAGAAATAAGTATTAATATATTTAAAAAGTTATCTTTTTATATTTTAATATAATTACAATTAATATAATAAAAATATTTGAACTAGAACAGAATATAATAATATTATAAATAATATTTTCATAATTAATTTATATTTTTTTGTATTATTAAAATTAATTAATTAAATAATAAAGCTTTTAAAGTTAAGTATATATTATATAAATTATATATAAAATTATATTACAGTTTTATATTTAATATCTAAAAAGATATTTGCAATATTGTTTATTTTAATATTATTTTAATTATAGAAAATATTGAGAATATTAATAAAATATAAATTTGTAAATTATTTTTAATATTATAATAATTATATTACTATCTTATTATTTATAAAAAAAATAAGTATTTATGTTTGAATAATTATATTTATTATAAATATATAAGATAAAAAGATATTATAATATTTATTAATAAGATCTAGTTAAAAAGATTGATATATTAATATGAAATTAATAATTATTTCTAATAAAAATCATTCAAGTTTTAACTAATCTTTATAATTTTTTTATATTAAATAAAAAATAATCTAAATTAAACTTTTTATATTATTTTAATTATCCTA